GTCAACGCCCCCGCGGCCCGGTCTGTGACCAGGCCTCCTGGTGGATCAGAGCCTGATCAACCAGACTGTTACTGCTGGCTGCACGCAATCCAACGTACGGGCCGCAGTCCGGCTGATCAGGAACCGACTTTAGGTGCTTGTCCAGTGCCAGCTTGAAGACTGCCAGGGGTCTGTTGGTAATCCCCCTCATGTATGCTGGGAGGCAGTTGAACAGTCTCGGACCCCTGACACTTATTGTATTGTCTCTTAACGTGCTAGCGACACCCCTGCTTTTCATTGGGGGGATGTTGCATCGTCTGCCAAGTCTTTTGCTTTCGTAGTGAGTGATTTTCGTGTGCAAGTTCGGTACTAGTCCCTCTAGGATTTTCCAGGTGTATGTAATCATGTATCTCTCCCTCCTGCATTCCAGGGAATACAGGTTCAGGAACCTCAAGCGCTCCCAGTAATTGAGGTGTTTTATCTCCGTTATGCGCGCCGTGAAGGTTCTCTGTACATTTTCTAGGTCAGCAATTTCACCTGCCTTGAAAGGTTCTGTTAGTGTGCAGCAATATTCCAGCCTAGATAGAACAAGTGACCTCAAGAGTGTCATCATGGGCTTGGCATCCCTAGTTTTGAAGGTTCTCATTATCCATCCTGTCATTTTTCTAGCAGATGCTATTGATATAATGTTATGGTCCTTGAAGGTGAAATCCTCTGAAATGATCACTCCCAGGTCTTTGACGTCTGTTTCTCTCTCTATTTTGTGGCCGGAATTTGTTTTGTACTCTGATGAAGTTTTGATTTCTTCGTGTCTACCACGCTCACATATTCTTGTCCTGTTTCCTGACAAATCTTACCTAACTTAAGTTCACACATTCTATACATATAATTCACGTACAACTATATTAAATTATCTTAAATATATAATACTTATATTTATTGCTAATTAGTATGCCTATCATGGTGGAAAAGGGCCTGATCAACCAGGCTGTTACTGCTGGTCACACATAAATCGATGTATGACCCACAGCCCGGCTGGTCAAGTACCGACTTTAGGTGCCTGTCCAGTGCCTGCTTGAAGACAGTCAGTGGTCTATTGGTAATCCCCCTTATATATGCTGAGAGGCAGTTGAACAGTCTTGAGCCCCTGACACTTGTGTCGCCTCTTACCTGGACAGTATTTTCACTTGATATATTCTTTCAAGCTGGAATTTTTTTTCGAGAATATACATAAATTCAGATTTTACAATTAATTATAATTTGCGATATAGAAATAAATATTAGCATCTCTTAAAATAAATTATTAGTAAAAAATATTGTTTCTCTTACCAGGGAAGTGACCTCTTAAGCGGAGTCATAACAACAGGATACATTATTAGCGGTAAGTTTATGTCCAGTGGCCTGATAAAACAGTAATTACAACAGACACTGTTAACGGTAAGTTCATGTCCAGCTTCTAGTGGTAGACACTGTACGTACATTGTAACACTGTGTACATTGTAACACTGTGTGTACATTGTAACACTTTGTGTACATTGTAACACTGTGTGTACATTGTAACACTGTGTGTACATTGTAACACTGTGTGTACATTGTAAACTGTGTGTACATTGTAACACTGTGTGTACATTGTAACACTGTGTGTACATTGTAACACTGTGTGTACATTGTAACACTGTGTGTACATTGTAACACTGTGTGTACATTGTAATACTGTGTGTACATTGTAACACTGTGTGTACATTGTAACACTGTGTGTAAATTGTAACACTGTGTGTACATTGTAATACTGTGTGTACATTGTAATACTGTGTGTACAATGTAACACTGGTGTACATTGTAATACTGTGTGTACATTGTAACACTGTGTGTACATTGTAACACTGTGTGTACATTGTAACACTGTGTGTACATTGTAACACTGTGTGTACATTGTAATACTGTGTGTACATTGTAATACTGTGTGTACAATGTAAACACTGTGTGTACATTGTAATACTGTGTGTACATTGTAACACTGTGTGTACATTGTAACACTGTGTGTACATTGTAACACTGTGTGTACATTGTAACACTGTGTGTACATTGTAACACTGTGTGTACATTGTAATACGTGTGTACATTGTAACACTGTGTGTACATTGTAACACTGTGTGTACATTGTAACACTGTGTGTACATTGTAACACTGTGTGTACATTGTAATACTGTGTGTACATTGTAATACTGTGTGTACAATGTAACACTGTGTGTACATTGTAATACTGTGTGTACATTGTAACACTGTGTGTACATGTAACACTGTGTGTACATTGTAACACTGTGTGTACATTGTAACACTGTGTGTACATTGTAACACTGTGTGTACATTGTAACACTGTGTGTACATTGTAACACTGTGTGTACATTGTAACACTGTGTGTACATTGTAACACTGTGTGTACATTGTAATACTGTGTGTACATTGTAACACTGTGTGTACATTGTAACACTGTGTGTACATTGTAATACTGTGTGTACATTGTAACACTGTGTGTACATTGTAACACTGTGGTACATTGTAACACTGTGTGTACATTGTAACACTGTGTGTACATTGTAATACTGTGTGTACATTGTAATACTGTGTGTACAATGTAACACTGTGTGTACATTGTAATACTGTGTGTACATTGTAACACTGTGTGTACATTGTAACACTGTGTGTACATTGTAACACTGTGTGTACATTGTAACACTGTGTGTACATTGTAACACTGTGTGTACATTGTAATACTGTGTGTACATTGTAACACTGTGTGTACATTGTAACACTGTGTGTACATTGTAACACTGTGTGTACATTGTAACACTGTGTGTACATTGTAATACTGTGTGTACATTGTAATACTGTGTGTACAATGTAACACTGTGTGTACATTGTAATACTGTGTGTACATTGTAACACTGTGTGTACATTGTAACACTGTGTGTACATTGTAACACTGTGTGTACATTGTAACACTGTGTGTACATTGTAACACTGTGTGTACATTGTAACACTGTGTGTACATTGTAACACTGTGTGTACATTGTAACACTGTGTGTACATTGTAACACTGTGTGTACATTGTAACACTGTGTGTACATTGTAACACTGTGTGTACATTGTAACACTGTGTGTACATTGTAACACTGTGTGTACATTGTAACACTGTGTGTACATTGTAATACTGTGTGTACATTGTAACACTGTGTGTACATTGTAACACTGTGTACATTGTAATACTGTGTGTACATTGTAACACTGTGTGTACATTGTAACACTGTGTGTACATTGTAACACTGTGTGTACATTGTACACTGTGTGTACATTGTAATACTGTGTGTACATTGTAATACTGTGAGTACAATGTAACACTGTGTGTACATTGTAATACTGTGTGTACATTGTAACACTGTGTGTACATTGTAACACTGTGTGTACATTGTAACACTGTGTGTACATTGTAACACTGTGTGTACATTGTAACACTGTGTGTACATTGTAACACTGTGTGTACATTGAAAACACTGTGTGTACATTGTAAACACTGTGTGTACATTGTAACACTGTGTGTACATTGTAACACTGTGTGTACATTGTAACACTGTGTGTACATTGTAACACTGTGTGTACATTGTAACACTGTGTGTACATTGTAACACTGTGTGTACATTGTAACACTGTGTGTACATTGTAACACTGTGTGTACATTGTAACACTGTGTGTACATTGTAACACTGTGTGTACATTGTAAGCGTTTCATCAGGAGGTTGAAGGTTGTAAATCATAACTGAGGAAGTTTATTCTCTTTAAGGGTTACAATGTTGGGTTTATAGGTTATAAAATACTAATTACAGAGGGGGACACTAGGACACCTAGCATGGCTAGGACACCTAGCATGGCTAGGACACCTAGCATGGCTAGGACACCTAGCATGGCTAGGACACCTAGCATGGCTAGGACACCTAGCATGACTAGGACACTTAGCATGGCTAGGACACCTAGCATGGCTAGGACACCTAGCATGGCTAGGACACCTAGCATGGCTAGGACACCTAGCATGGCTAGGACACCTAGCGTGGCTAGGACACCTAGCATGGCTAGGACACCTAGCATGGCTAAGACACCTAGCATGCCTAGGACACCTAGCATGGCTAGGACACCTAGCATGGCTAGGACACCTAGCATGACTAGGACACCTAGCATGGCTAGGACACCTAGCATGGCTAGGACACCTAGCATGGCTAGGACACCTAGCATGGCTAGGACACCTAGCATGGCTAGGACACCTAGCATGGCTAGGACACCTAGCATGGCTAGGACACCTAGCATGGCTAGGACACCTAGCATGGCTAGGACACCTAGCATGGCTAGGGACACCTAGCATGGCTAGGACACCTAGCATGGCTAGGACACCTAGCATGCCTAGGACACCTAGCATGGCTAGGACACCTAGCATGGCTAGGACACCTAGCATGGCTAGGACACCTAGCATGGCTAGGGACACCTAGCATGGCTAGGACACCTAGCATGGCTAGGACACCTAGCATGGCTAGGACACCTAGCATGCCTAGGACACCTAGCATGGCTAGGACACCTAGCATGGCTAGGACACTAGCATGGCTAGGACACCTAGCATGGCTAGGACACCTAGCATGGCTAGGACACCTAGCATGGCTAGGACACCTAGCATGGCTAGGACACCTAGCATGGCTAGGCATTTCGAGCAGACTTAGATTAATTCTTAACATTAAATCCTTACAGATTATGGTATTATGGCTAAGTGACTAAATACTAGTTTGTAAGTTTAGCAATGTAAATGCTTTTGTTTTGGCACAATACATAGTGTCTATATTGAAGTATCATAGGCAAACTTATGACTATATTAGAGGTATACATTACCCAGGTATACAAGTGGAGGGTGTATACTTGGATAATGTATATATGGAGGGTGTATACTTGGATAAAGTATACCTGGAGAGTGTATTCCTGGACAGTGTATATCTGGGTGTATATCTGGAGAGTGTATATCTGGAGAGTGTATATCTGGAGAGTGTATATCTGGAGAGTGTATATCTGGAGAGTGTATATCTGGAGAGTGTATATCTGGAGAGTGTATATCTGGAGAGTGTATATCTGGAGAGTGTATATCTGGAGAGTGTATATCAGGAGAGTGTATATCTGGAGAGTGTATATCAGGAGAGTGTATACCTGTAGTGTATTTCTAGAGTGTATACCTGAAGAGTGTAAATCTGGAGAGTGTATATCTGGAGAGTGTATATCTGGAGAGTGTAATATCTGGAGAGTGTATATCAGGAGAGTGTATATCTGGAGAGTGTATATCAGGAGAGTGTATACCTGTAGTGTATTTCTAGAGTGTATACCTGAAGAGTGTAAATCTGGAGAGTGTATATCTGGAGAGTGTATATCTGGAGAGTGTATATCTGGAGAGTGTATATCAGGAGAGTGTATATCTGGAGAGTGTATATCTGGAGAGTGTATACCTGGAGGATATATACCTGGAGAGTGTATACTGGAGAGTGTTTACCTGGAGAGTGTATACCTGGATAGTGTATACCTGGAGAGTATATCTGAATAGTGTATATCTGGAGAGTGAATATCTGGAGAATGTATACCTGGAAAGTGAATATCTGAAGTGTATACCTGGAGTGTGTATACCTGGAGAGTGTATACTTGGAGAGTGTATACGTGGAGGGTGTATGTCTGGAGGGTGTATATCTGGAGAGTGTATACCTGGAGAGTGTATACCTGGAGAGTTTATACCTGGAGAGTGTGTATCTGGAGAGTGCATACCTGGAGAGTGTATATCTGGAGAGTGTATACCTGGAGAATGAATTTCTGGAGAGTGCATGCCTGTCGAGTGTATATCTCGAGAGTGTATATCTGGAGAGTGTATACCTGGAGGGTGTATGCCTGGAGAGTGTATACCTGGAGAGAGTATACCTGGAGGGTGTATATCTGGAAGGTGTATATCTTGAGAGTGTATATTTGGAGAGTGTACATCTGGAGAGTGAATACTTTGAGAGTGTATACCTGGAGAGTGTATATCTGGAGAGTGTATACCTGGAGAGTGCGTTCCTGGAGAATGTACATCTGGAGAGTGTATACCTGGAGTGTATACCTGGAGAGAGTATACCTGGAGAGTGTATACCTGGAGAGTGTATACCTGGAGAGTGTCCAGTGCCAGCTTGAAGACAGTCAGGGGTCTATTGGTAATCCACCTTATGTATGCTGGGAGGTAGTTGAACAGTCTCAGGCCCCTGACACTTATTGTGTTGTCTCTTAATGTGCTAGTGGCACCCTTGCTTTTCATTGGGGGGATGTTGCATCGTCTGCCGAGTCTTTTGCTTTCGCTGTGAGTGATTTTCGTGTGCAAGTTCGGTACTAGTCCCTCTAGGATTTTCCAGGTTTATATAGTCATGTATCTCTCCCGCCTGCGCTCCAGGGAATACAGGTTCAGGAACTTCAAGCGCTCCCAGTAATTGAGGTGTTTTATCTCCGTTATGCGCGCCGTGAAGGTTCTCTCTACATTTTCTAGGTCAGCAATTTCACTTGCCTTGAAAGGTGCTGTTAGTGTGCAGCAATATTCCAGCCTAGATAGAACAAGCGATCTGAAGAGTGTCGTCATGGGCTTGTCATCCCTAGTTTTGAAGGTTCTCATTATCCATCCTGTCATTTTTCTAGCAGATGCGATTGATACAATGTTATGGTCCTTAAAGGTGAGATCCTCCGACATGATCACTCCCAGGTCTTTGACGTTGGTTTTTCGCTCTATTTTGTGGCCGGAATTCGTTTTGTACTCTGATGAAGTTTTAATTTCCTCATGTTTACCATATCTGAGTAATTGAAATTTCTCATCGTTGAACTTCATATTGTTTTCTGCAGCCCACTGAAAGATTTGGTTGCTGTCCGCCTGGAGCCTTGCAGTGTCTGCAATGGAAGACACTGTCATGCAGATTCGGGTGTCATCTGCAAAGGAAGACACGGTGCTGTGGCTGACATCCTTGTCTATGTCAAATATGAGGATAAGAAACAAGATGGGAGCGAGTACTGTGCCTTGTGGAACAGCTTTTCACTGTAGCTGCCTCGGACTTTACTCTGCTGACTACTACTCTTTGTGTTCTGTTTGTGAGGAAATTATAGATCCATCTACCAACTTTTCCTGTTATTCCTTTAGCACGCATTTTGTGCGCTATTACACCATGGTCACACGTGTCGAAGGCTTTTGCAAAGTCTGTATATATTACATCCGCATTCTCTTTGTCTTCTAGTGCATCTAGGACCTTGTTGCAGTGATCCAGTAGTTGAGACAGACAGGAGCGACCTGCTCTAAACCCATGTTGCCCTGGTTTGTTTAGCTGATGGGTATCTAGATGGGTGGCGATCTTGCTTCTTAGGGCCCTTTCAAAGATTTTTATTATGATATGGTATGTTGGTGCTATCGTTCTGTAGTTCTTTGCTATTGCTTTACTGCCCCCTTTGTGGAGTGGGGCTATGTCTGTTGTTTTAGCAACTGTGGGACGACTCCCGTGTCCATGCTCCCTCTCCATAAGATGGTAAATGCTCGTGATAGGGGCTTCTTGCAGTTCTTGATGAACACGGAGTTCCATGAGTCTGACCCTGGGGCAGAGTGCATGGGCATGTCATTTATCGCCTGTTCGAAGTCATTTGGCGTCAGGATAACATCAGATAGGTCTGTTATGACTAGTTGTGTTTTGCCTGCTAGTGGCTTTTGTGCCTAACAGTGTTTTATTACAAGTAAACTATGTTATCTCTGCACTGCATAGAAGAAATAAAATATTGAATTTGAATTTGTATGTCACAGTAGGAAAGTAAGCGATGGATTGAGTGTGTATTCCAGTGTAACACAGTAGCTACATTATAGTGTTCCCTGTTCCATTTTTTAGGTACCAACAACAAGGTACCTTTTCAAGTACCTTGTTGCTGGTACAGAGCTCTTGATCCAAAAAATTTTAGTTATCCTTTAATTAAGTTCAATTGCCTCCTACTGCACTTATCCATGATAACACTAATGCTGTAATAATGTTTGGTCTCTCCCGCAGGTTATGTTCCTCCCATGCCACCACCTTTTACTGGCGTCCACAGATATATGTTTTACCTCTTTGAAGAGACAGGCAAGGGGGTAGATCGTCACGCCAATATCAAGCGTTTTCAATTTAACCTCTATAAACACGCCAAGCAGCGTGGTCTGTGTGGGCCGGTGGCTCAGGCCATGTTCAACACCCAGTTCTCTCTGTTTACAGATGCATTTCTTAAGAACATATTATTATAAGAGTGAAGAATATAATTGGTAGACTTACGGACAATGTGATAGGTAAGAGGATACAATGTGCAAGTAGTGAGACTGCAATTATGTTTAGCACTCAAGGTGCTTTGTCAGTCCAAAGAAAAACATGGTTACAATGATATGGATCAATAGTTGTGCCTGTATCCTCTTAGTTAATAAGACCAGGAAAGTACTCTTCGTCTTCCATCATTTTTTAATGTCTCTGTATTCAACTGATAAAGCCTTCTACGCAGGTGAAACGCTTCGTCAATAAAGATTCTAGTGTCGCACATCTGTCTTACTCTTCACCTTGTCTGTATTATATACCACTTACACATGCTGTAGGTCAGCTGGTTCACGGTGTAAACCTCTCTAGGACTCCTTCAACTGCGTCAGCTTTTCTTTATAATAATTTTATAATAATCTTTATTTCTACAAGTACATATACAAGGTATACAAGTACATGTACAAGGTATACAAGTACACGTACAAGGTATACAAGTACATGTACAAGGTATACAAGTACATGTACAAGGTATACAAGTACATGTACAAGGTATACAGACCATAGCTGACATCAGTGACATACTACTATATAGAAAGCCGATTGTTATGCTGAGCATTTCCCGCAAATTACGTCAGTTTTGTCCCAGGATGCGACCCACACCAGTCCACTAACACCCAGGCACCCATTTTACTGATGGGTGAACATGGACAGCAGGTATCTTAAGGAAACACGTCCTGATGTTTCCAACTGTTCCGGGGATCGAGCCACCGGACCTCAATGTGTGAGCTGAGTGCGCTAACAACTGCTACAAACATTTGGAATTGTTATAGACAGCCTCCTCAGTGTTGTGCTCGCTATCCTCTACACGGAGACCCTAGAAACAGAGAAATTCAGTATCATGATTCCCAAGACTGATTTTATTTGGAGTGACTGTCATGGGACGATATCATGGTGTTTTATTCAAGATGCTTTAATAGCCAGGGTCTCCTCGACAAAACTGTTATCGAACTATCTATGGAGTTCACAATGGAACTCGAAAAAAGAGGGAAGACTCCTTTTCCTCGACATCCTCCTGTACTGGCCTACCAACAGCAACACCCTTCTCTTCAAACTCTCACCAAAGCAGGTGTCCTTATTGGTTTCTTTTTAAGAGCTATCTGCATCTCTACCCATTGCTTTCTTAGAGGAATGTTCCTGCATAACACGTCTTCATTTTCCCCTCTTACTTCATCCGAGACCGCATTCTCAAGCTGTCCTCAACAATTAACCCAAGAAACATTACGCCGAACAGTTCTTAGTGGCTCCATGCGGGGATGTTGCCAGGAATACCCACCGGGTGCATGTTAGAAACAACGTAAATGTATCCACCATGGCTACATATTCCTTTTTTCAAAGACTTCACTATGAAGCGTAGTCCTACACTTCCAGCTTCCACGGAAGACGTCTACACAATCTCCTGTGGGCGCTGTTTCAAGAAATATAGAGTGGACAGGCAGAAGAGGTCTGTCTATCTACCTGGGTGAACATGGATGACATGTACAACTCCTATGTCTGCGACAGACACTCCACGGACATCTGATGAGTTAATAATAATAATATCTTTATTTACTACAAGTACATGTACAAGGTATACAGGCAATAGTTAATATCAGTGACACACTGCTATATAGAAAACTGATTGTTATACTGAGCATTACCCGTAAATTAGGTCTTTGTCCCAGGATGCGACCCACACCAGTCTACTGACTCCCAGGTACCCATTTTACTGATGGGTGAACGTAGAAAACCGGTGTAAAGAAACACACCCAATGTTTCTACCCGCGCTGGGAATCGAACCCAGACCCACGCTGTGTGAAGCAAGAGCTTTAGCCACCAGGCCACAAGGACCGTTGGAATGAGGCACAACTCACCATCAATGAATCCGACTGTAGGCGTTGAAGGTTCTTGGGAGCCTAATTAATCGCCGTCACTGGCACCGTGGAACGAAAACCTAGAAACTATGGCGTATTAAAAACACTAATATAAATTATTCTTGACCATGTTAAGCCCCACTTACCGCACAACACCGCATTCAGGTGACCTAATGAACGACCTGACACCATCATGAAATCTAACTTGTTCTTTCGTCAGGTCAATACCTGCCACTCACGATACCCGACTTTCACGTCTCACTTATATGCCTGGTGGCTAAGTCTCTCGCTTCACAAGGTGAGTGTCTGGGTTCGATTCCCAGCGAGGGTAGAAACATTGGGCGTATTTCTTTACACTGGTTGTCTATATTCCCTATCAATAAAATGGGCACCTAGGTGTTAGTCGACTGGTGTGGGTCGCATCCTGGGGCAAAACTGACCTAATTTATGGGAAATACTCTACTTAACAAGTGACTGTCTATATAGTAGTATGTCACTGATGTCAGCTATGGTCTGTACTGTATATGTAGTAAATAAAGATATTATAATTATTATTATTATTATTATTATTATTATTATTATTATTATTATTATTATTATTATTATTATTATTATTATTATTATTATTATTATTCACAGTTTTAATCTTGACTCCTGTATTTTAGAGGTAAAGGTCCTAGGACTGAAACTTGTCTAATAAATATGTCCTAGTATATACCTGTGTGTTTCTAAACTTTCTGGCCCGTACTAGACAGGTTCCTCTCACATCGAACGCTTCTCACTCATACCCAGAGAATTTAGCTACAATGACCCTACTTGGCAATAAGTTCTACTTATCGACAACTCCAAATCCTTCCTTTATCCTTTCTAAACCTAAATTAGAATATTGAATAGGGTAGGACTGAGCACACCTCCCTGTGGGGTTCCTAATTCAAAATCTTTAGCTAAACTTCTATGTCCCTGGAACAACACAGACGACTTTCTGTTGGACAGGTTACCTTTAAATCCAGCGGTGAAGCCATCCTCCAACATCATTCTGGCAAGTTCACTAATGATTACATGTCGGTTGGCTACATCAAAGCGTTTAA